CACCGCACTCGCATGCCGCACTGTCCGCCAAGCCCCACGTCTTCATCGATGTTTTAAAGCGACCGACCCCAGTTCGTAGACGGTTCAGAGTGGTCCACTGCCGGCGCGGTAGGTCGTCTCCTCCAATGGCGCCATCTCCTGGGTCCCAGATGTAACGGTGGACTCGGGAGGGCCCGGCTGACTCCCACTCCTGCTTCCAAGCTGCTGCCAAACATGCATTTCCGGATATGTCCTCAAAGGTGGAGTTGAGCATCTCTTTTGCTGCTTTGTTGTAGGGGTGGCGGGACTTGAGTCTGCTTGGAGGTGCTGGTGTTATTGTGGTGTTGTGCAGGATGTGCCAGTCATACTTTTGTGCCTTCCTGGCCAGGGCGAGGGTGGCAGCCTCCCATCGGAGGCCGGCCGGTGCTATTCCCGCGAGGACTGGCAAGAGGGACACAGGGGTAGGCTTTAAGCATCCAGTTATTATTCGGAGGGAGGTATTGATAGCCACGTCGAAGCTAAGTAAAGCTTATGTGGTAACTACTCGGACAAAAGTGCCACTAATTGGTGAAAAAGAGTGACTAGTATAATTTTTTATTGAACTAGTTGAGCAGAGTGTGTCATCTAACAAGTCAAATCAACTAGTGTAGGCAGCTGCCGTCTGATATCAAGGATATGGAATAAATACTCAAATGGCTTGCCATACATTTCCACATTTTGACATAATGACAGATAGCGTCTGAAAGTGTGTATGGATTTAAAAGACAACTATAAAAAATAAAAATAAACAAGTTTTCTTTTTTTTAAGTTACAATAAAATGAAACATTTAGAATCCACTTTGGCTTCCAAGCACTTCTACAATAATAACTGTTAGATTGCTATCTACAAAATTGACTGCCGAAACTGAACTGCTGGTACAGCTTCCAGTAGTGATATCAAATGTATGAATATAAAGTGATCTGTCTGTTTACTTGTATCTACTCCCAAACATTTGTCTCTTTTTTTATCCCATAGGTTGCAAAGCTCTTTGCACTTAGTATCTCCTCCTCCTAATTTCGACACACGTAATAAACATGAGTCACTTCAGGAAATGAAGACTTTTAAGTGCAGGCTTCAGGATTCTGTCAAGATCTGCTTTATTCACATTCAAATATTCAAAGCCAGTCAGTGAGAGTGCAGAGGAATTCGATGGAGGGGCTGGAGGCTGCAGCGCGTCACGTCAAATAGGAATCTGTCATGTTATCATAAAAAGTCTATTGATCATCCTCAACTGGCCCAGTTTCTCTCCTCGGCCCAGATTAAGGATTTCACAGCACTGTTGATGAATCACAAACGCACAGGGAAATAGTGGGAAACAGGGAGTTGTGGGAATGAATAATAAGATTTAGTTATTCAGCGTTATGCAATTGGTATTTTACGTTATTTCAAGGGGCTGTGTGTCATTTTGGTGTAACATAGGCTTAATGTTTTAAAAGAAAAAGAGCATCCACTTAGGTCTGCATTTGCATAACACTGAATATTTTACCTTCAGCTCTTGGCTCAAACATCAACATTAATTCAGCAACTGGACATTTTAAGATCTCTGTTTTTCTGTCTGTATTAATCGTAGGAGATATTAGATTTGCTGTTTATCAATTTAAACTCTGTTTTCCATGTGTTGAATTGGGAAATAAAAACTGATTCAGAAGGATTTTTCTGTTAGAACCTAGCTTTTCTCATAACCAGCCTCTGAGGGGATAACATTGCCTTGAGCTTTTAAACAGTTCATGGCGAATGCATGTTTTTTTTAATAAAGGCCAGCTGCCTACTCAACTGATTATCCTCTGTCTCCATACATATTGATAAACAAGCACATTAGAGACCAGTGCATCTGCTGATATACGTGGTCTTTTCAAGAATGAATTTATGTCTACTGTGTTTTTTCTAAATGGGCCTGGCACTTGTAGATGGTTGTGCCTCTGGGCTGTTCAATTTAAATCTGTTTGCCTAATTGATAAATGTTATTGCTTATTAGGTTGTGACAGAGAATTAATAGCGCTGGGCAGGGCGGTTGTGTGAAGGTCATTGTGGAGACTGACGGCTGATGGTTTAATTGTTTTTTCCTCGACTCTTCAAGTTGTTTCTAACCAGACACAGCCCGTTCCTGACGGCTTTTTCTTGCATTTAAATCAGACATTTTTGCAAAGATTTTCTTTTCCCAAGGTCCTCACAGCAAAGGAACCCTCTGAAGGCTCATGGTGAAGACATGGTGAAGCTCTCAGTGCTATCATCGGATGGAAATGTTGCCCGAACTGCAGTAAGTCACCAAAGTAATCATTGGAAAGGTTGACAGGCTGACAGCGGAAAATGTTTTGATTGAAACGTTGCCCAAAAGTCCAGGAGCCATCATTGCCAACATTGTTGTCAGATATATCCTGGTGCAGCCATGTTTCTGTACTCTAGTGGCCACTTATTAAATAATGCAGCTTTAGTCATGCAATTAACCACATGGTTAATTAAACAAATCATTTATAAAATAATTGACTTTGAATCTTTCCAATAACTACTATTTCCTTCTTCTACTATATATACAGAGGGGGGAGAAGTAAGATATGGTTACTTCAAGTAACCATATCAAGACACCAGAGTGTCGAAATAGGGAATACTATGTTGCAAGTACATGTCCTAGATTCAAAATGTTACGCAAGTAAAAGTAAACAAGTATTAGCTTCAAAATATACTTAAAGTATCAAAAGTAAAAGTAGTCTTTTGCAGATTGGTCCATTCCAGAATAAAATATTATATGTTTTGATTATAATTATTGATCATTAAAGTGTTATCAAAGCTGGTAAAGGTGCAGCTAGTTTGAATGACTTTGTATACTGCAGGGTAGCTTGTGAATTTACTCCAGGTGGAACTAAAGTTTCACATCATTCATCCACATCTGTAAAGTAACTAAATGTATTAAATACATGTAGTGGAGTCAAAGTATACCATTTACCTCTGAATTATAGTGGAGTAGAAGTACAAAGTATCATACAACGGAAATACTCAAGTAAAGTAACATCAAACTCAAAATTGTACTTAAGTACAGTACTTGAGTAAATATACTCAGTTACTTTACACCTCTGTGTGTTATATAAATATGAACCTGAAAACGAGCAGAATAGGGCCCCTTTAAATGTTTACTTAAGTAGGCCTACTGTAGACTACTCGAGTAAATGTACTTGACTTGTATTTTCCTGCTGGTTAGCCCCTGCTCTGTCACACTGTGCTTTCAGAGGCAGAGAACACATAATGAGAAGCCTCCGGTTCAATTTGCAAAGCACACACAGCAAATCCCACAATGCACTGCAACTTAACGGGGAGAATTGGCTGGTCACTCTGCACCTTTGCATTTAGAGTTTGGCACCTAGGCAAAGCAATCATAAAAACCCCTTAAATAGCAGCACGTTTTTAAGTTTGAGATATGTTTACATGTTTTGTTTAGAATTGTACAACTTAATTAATGTAACAAAGGCAAGTGTAATAAACTGAGGATTTAATCTACATCTTTTTAGTCAGTATATATTTATTTTGTCACTATTTCAAAAGTAATTACTTATTACTTTTAGTAGAAACCTTTGACCTCAAAACATACATCCTAACTGGACCACACTTCTTCCGGTGCATTAATAGGGTTAGAGGTGAAACAGATTTTACTTTCACGCCTAATCCAGCTCAGTGACGGGAAACGAACCCACCCGTCCAAGCATGGAGCTCAGTGGGTGAAAGACCATGAAGTCACAGGTGGGAGCTCACAGAGTGTCTTCAATATCAAACATCATCTAATTCATTCAGTTCAAATCAAAACATCCATAACATTTGCACACGCATTGGGAGTTGTCCAAATGCCTGTGATCCGTCTGCAGCTTAACTGTCAGTGTGTGTTAGCTGATTAAAAAGAGATGTTGTTAAAATCCAATCCTTACGACACCGTTCTCCCTCAGACGGTTATCTCTGATTAAGAGTGAGTGTGCTGCCCTGGTGACCCAGTATTTACCTGAGATCACTTCATTACACTGTCATTGTTATTTAATGCTCAAATATTTATTTCATTAAATATTTTACAATGATTTAAAGTGTTGAAATGTGATCAGTTGAGTTCGTCGCTGTTTAAAAAAAAAGAAAAGTGATATGAAGATGCACGGACTGGTCCCTACAATGTGTGTGCAATGATAATCCGACAGAGAAATAGGTCACTGGGCCTGAGGGCCTTTTATAAACCACCTCAGTCACTCATCCTGGGCCGTATGGGGCTTCTGATTGGCTAAGAAGATGAGCGTCAAACGTACGTCTCTACCATACATGGTAAACTGTGATTCCAGTCTCCAAGATGAGACGTTCAGGGGGCGAAAGGAGTGTAGGTTCAATACACATGTCTCCAGATTCCCCCTCTAAATGATTATAATTATTTGTTTCAATTAAATTGTATGTGACATGCATTGTTTGTTATCCTCTTTGTGAAATAACTCATTTTTTTAAAATCACACAGTTGGGAGGTTACACTGTATGTTACTGTTTTTCTCAGATTTGGAGTAAAATATGTTGAAATGGTGATACCAAGTGTTGTTGATTAAATTAGACACTATGTTGTTTTTTTCTTTCCTTTTTGTATACACAGTAAATCCCTACAAAATAGGGAATTTAATAAAACATTATATAAAAATAGCTAAATATTTCGGTGGGTTATTTGTCGGCACTTTTTAATAGCGGGTAGCTGGCTCCTCCACAGGAACTTTTTCATTTCTCAAAATAACAAGCATTAATCCTGGGTTAGGGTTAGGGTTATTTAGAGAGTCTGAACAAAAAAGTACCAATATTTCTTTATTAAATTAAATCGTAAACATGTGTTCACATAGGGGAAAAAACGATTACTGTCTCAACCTTTAAATATTTTTGACTCAACAACAAGTAGCCTCTTCTTCGTTTTGGATTATCGAGTTTACGAGGCGCTCTTGAAGTGCTCTAATGGCTGCGCGCTGATGCATCCCACTGTGGGGCTTGTGGTTTGTATGGGTGTGTCTGAGTGTGTGTGAGTAGTTATGTGGGAGGGGGAAAAGCTACTGAGCACAACTCCTGTGTCATGAAGAACGGTTCACTAGCAGGCCTGTGACCGCCGAACAGCCGCGATGGACTTCATGCTGAGCGGGGCGGCCGCGTGCGGAGCCTGCCTATTCACCAACCCGCTGGAGGTGGTCAAAACTCGGATGCAACTCCAAGGAGAGCTCAAGACCCGGGGCTCCTACCAGGTTTACTACCGAAATGTGTTTCACGCTTTTTACACTATCGGTAAAGTGGACGGACTTGCCGGCCTGCAGAAAGGTCTTGCGCCAGGGCTCGTGTATCAGTTTTTAATGAATGGTGTCAGACTCGGCTCGTTCGCCATCATTGAGTCCTCGGGTCACATCCACACGGAGGGCAGGGTCAGTGCGGTTAAAACCACGCTAGCAGGGGCTGTGGCCGGAGTGGTGGGAGCCGTAATGGGAAGCCCCGTGTACCTGGTCTGTATCTGGCTTTATTTCCCTTTTATTGCAGGTGTGTGACATTTCAAGGTGAACTGTCCCTTTTGTAACTGTGGACACACATTGTCTCCTTTGACAGGTAAAGACTCACCTGCAGAGTCAGTCTACCTCCTCTATTGCAGTTGGACATCAGCACAAACACCAGGTAACACACACTGATGGTGTTTCATATGAATGACAGCTGTCAACAAGTTACCCCTAGTAGACCCCCACACACACACAGCAACATAGATTACAACACCCCTTGTTGTTAAATACCAACTATGTGCAATATGCTGTTAATAACTGTGCAATATGTACCTGGCTGCTACATCTTCTGAACTGTTACAGGATGTGTATTTTGTAAATTGTGTAATTTTTTTAATTTGTTATGCGTGCTTCTTAGTTAACATTAAGCTGTCTTCTGCTGTAACACATGTACATTTCCCCTCTGTGGGACGTATAAAGGTATTCTGATTCTGTCTCCTCACGTTTTCTTCCTCTTCCTGTCAGGGGATGATCCACGCTCTGGCAGCCATCTACAGGCAGCATGGCATTCTGGGACTGTGGAGGGGCTCCAGTGCTGCTATCCCGAGGGTCAGCGTGGGGTCAGCTGCTCAACTCTCCACTTTCTCCTCCGCCAAGGAACTGGTGCTTGACTTACAGGTTGGAATAGTTTAATACTTCTCCGCTGAGGTTTAATCTCAACATGGGTTAAAGGCTAACCAGGGGGATGTTGGTTCCTCAGCTTTCCACACTGTTCAGTCTGTTTTTGGGGATATTGCACAACTCACATTGAGCTGTTATGATTAGTTTAGGGGCTGGAAATCACTCTGAATATCAATCATACAATAGCTTGTTTTGATGTTAAAAACGTGCTGCTTTTCTTAGACTTATATGATTGTGAAATTAGTATCTAGAAGTCACGTCGAGCCCGCCCTCTCTGAACCTTTCATGGGCGTTTTTCTTTATTTTTTCCTATTATCTAGAGTCCACATTGGTATAGATTGAAGACAAACTTTTGATTATTAAAAAATCAGTAGTCACGTGATTTGGGCGGGATCATTTGTAGTCAGTAGCCGTGTACAGATTACAAAAGCAGTCATTGTGTCCCGACAAAGCATTGCTCTCTTCTGGAATAGAAATTCGATACCTTTCATTGCCCCCCCTCACTCTGAAAAAATGTAGCTTACATAACCAGGGCACCAGTTTACCAGCCTTACATCTTTCCAAATGTTCAGAAAACAATTCAGACATCCTGGTTTTCTATTACTACCAGACTTTGAGCCGTTGTGTGTTTGTTTGTAAGTGGTAACAACTGTTGAGTTGCTACTGTGTCGTCTGTTTATTATTTAGTTTATTGACGTATGAAGCAATGTACTGTTCTGTGCGTAGTAGTTGACAGTAACTATAGGTGTGTGTGTGTGTGTGTGTGTGTGTGTGTGTGTGTGTGTGTGTGTGTGTGTGTGTGTGTGTGTGTGTGTGTGTGTGTGTGTGTGTGTGTGTGTGTGTGTGTGTGTGTGTGTGTGTGTGTGTGTGTGTGTGTGTGTGTGTGTGTGTGTGTGTGTGTGTGTGTGTGTGTGTGACAGGCACTAATAATAGTCATTCCTCTGTTTCTCTGCATGTATGAGATCACCGCCAGTTAAAATTAGGAGTGGTGGTGATAAACTGGTCTAGCATCAATGCACAGGTGCACGAGGTGTTCTGTCACTTCTCACGTCTACATTACTGAGCCTCACATTGTGTTGTTCTCTTCTTCCTAAGGTGTTCCCTAAGGACAGCTGGCTCGTGGCCCTCACTGCCGGTATGATCAGCAGCGTGGTGGTGGTGGTAGCTATGACGCCTTTTGATGTCGTGAGCACGCGGCTCTACAACCAGCCCGTGGATCATTTGGGCAAGGTGAGGATATGAGAAAGTTACACTCCTTTAGCTCTGTTTTTATCACGTAGAACCCCACCTTTTCTACCATGGTTGCGGTCCAATCGTCACCCTTTTGCTGAGGAAAGTTTCTAACTGAGGGAACTGACCCAAAAGTACCTGCGTGGCAGCTGTGGTGGGAATGTATTTATCAAATGTGGATAGAGAATCAAACCATTCAGCTGTCTTTGTCGTGTTTTATTTATTGCAAGACAGTTCAGTCAGTCACACAGAGAGCATACGGTCTGCAGAGTGAAAGACGAAGTATAGAGTTTGGGTTGCATATTGAAACACAGAGAGAGGAGAAAGGGAAGGGTGAAGCTTGGTGATAATGAAAGGAGCATTCTGGAAGTTAGGGAGGCCGTATCAGGAAGTTCTCAGTTCACTGAGGTGAGGGTCATACTCTCGGTGCACATGGAGTGGAACTAACAACATTGCAGCACTTCTTCTTAATATGGATTTTTCCCAAGCTTAGCTAAGATGTGTGAGAAGTAGTAATATATACGTGAATACGATTCACATAATGATATTATCAAAGTAAATAAGTGAGTATAATATGTTTCTATTACACAGCCATGATAAGATTTGTTTGGAATCTCTAGATCAGGGGTTCCCAAAGTGGGGGTGACCCCGAGAGGGGGTCGCGAGATGATTACAAAATAAAAAAATTATTATTAATAATAACGTGTGCATAGACATTTTTCAGGTGCGGACTGGCCATCTGTATAATTTCCCCGCAGCGAGGCTCCCCCCGTTGACAATCCTCTAGCGCAGTGTTTCTCAAACCTTTTCATACCAAGGACACTTAACCAATAGAAAAACACTCACGGACCACCTGACTCCACAAATATCCAAAAACAATATGCCTGCTTACCACTCCAACAGTTTATAACAGCCTAATAATGACAGCTTCACCTTCTCTATATCGCCTCGTTCACACAATAAATCAACAATACAAACACAACTACAGATTATATAAGCATTTAGTTCAAATGCGATTTAAAAATGCTCAGGTTTTACACCTCTTATGAAATGTACATTTATTACGGAGTTTATGTCCGAGCCAACAAACTCACAGATCGTTGGCGACTGAGAGATATGCAAAATACACCGCATGTAGTACGACACAAACCTCCGCTGTGGATTTTCAAAACGGTCGCAGGCCCAAGTTTAACTCTGAGGTCTAAGTCCTTTTTTCATGTTAGGCTCGCCTGGGCTTTTTTTGTAAAAATGCTATTAAAACATGAACCTTGGTGACCATGGGGCTGGCCTGCATGGTCTGCCTACCAAACAAAAATAAAAAACCGTTTATGCAGCCCCAACATCAGCCTCTGATCATCAACAGACTTCATGAAATGCTTCATTGGATGCATATATTAGATAATAATCTCTATCTCACTCCTAACACATCTAAATCTGCTTCCAGCATGGATAAATGTTCATAAAATATATCCATTGTTTGTTCTATATGCTTCTTGAAATCCTAAAAAACATCACCTACAAATCGCCTGAAAATGGTACAAACAAGTGGCAACATGCTTGACGGAGGTGCTGCGCTGGGCTATATCATTCAATCGAAAGTGAAACTTAAGCTCGCTCCATTGCGGAGATATTCCCGCAAGAGTGCGGAAAA